CGATGCCAGGAGCCCCTAGTAGCGTCCTTGCTCCTAGTAGCGATGCCCTTTGTTCATAGTAGCCGAATATTCACATAGTGATATTTATTCATAGCCATCTGTCGAGTCTTTCTTTTTTGCAGTTTGCTTGAATTTTCCAGATCTGAAGCGCACGTTAAAGGCTAACATGTTGAGATTCCCGCTGTGCATTCTCCTCTTGCTCAGCCTCGTAGAATAGCCTGGTTTCTCAGTTGAATTGCACTTGAGCAGTGTCCTAAAAGTCTAGCGCTGAAATGAAACAGTTGATGAGGTGCGTGCTGGAAATCCTCTATAAAAAGTCATTGGCCAAACTGAAGGTAATATGTTTCTCGTGGTGGCTCCTCGGCTCCTCCAATGAATGCTATGGATCACAGGCCCAAGCTGCTTCCGACACAACTTCATCTCTGTCCAAGATGCTACAAGGGTGCTTTGCTTAGGAAGGCTAAAAAAAGACGGTGCACCTACTTCTCTAACCATCTCAGAACGGCTGTGTGTCACAGGATGACACAGAACTGTCTGAGACATCTGGCGCGGCCGTGATGAAGAGCAAGGTGAAGACCACCCCAAAGGTGCGCAGGACCTGCCAACTGACAGTGATCTTCAAGTAGAATGGCCAAAGAACATCCGAGAATGTCATGACTGTACACTCCACAAAACATAATGACATAATGAGAGTTGCAGGTGTGACATAAATGAACAAAGAACTTGTGTACATAGAATGACAAAAATTGGAAATCTTTCTGAAGCCTCTTTCTCAATCCCACCCACACACTTTGTTCTAAGTATTTGATAAGCTTCGAGTTTAGGAACCAACAATAAGCTACTAGGAACAAGTGCATCGCTACTAGGAGCAAGGGCCTTACTAGTAGTAACAAGAAGCTATTAGTATAAACTTCGAGTTTAGGAACCAGAACACACTTTGATTCACCAGGATTGAGGTGCACCGGTGTGGGCACCGTGGGCCGGCCCCTCTGTCTGTTTCACCACGCCCACGAACGCCTGCAGCTGATAGGGACGCACTTCACGGACTCCGCTCTCATACTTCTGCGCCTCGCAGGCGGGTCTATGGCCTGGTGTTTTTATGTTTGGCCCATGGCCCTGCCTCCTTAATTAAGTAGGTGCCTACTTAATTAAGGGAGTAAGTTCGCTTCTAGCTACTAGTTAGCTCCTAGTCGCTGGACGGACGCAGGATAGCTCACGCGCTAATGATTTGGTTCCTAGATTGTTAGGAAACTATGGGAAACTTAACCTCCTTCCAGGTGATAGCGTTGCTTCCCGGAAACCCACCCAGTTCTCGTTTGATGGTTGTCTTCCTGAAGCAGACTGGGGTAACTTCAAAAGCATGACTTATGTGTAGCAAGTCTGGTAGGGGACACCAAGACATGCAGCATAACTTTGCCTACTCTTCGCTCTGTATGGTGGATCAAAATATAGAACTTGATGGATATGGAAATGGTGTGCAGGGGTTGTGTCCCGCATATTCATGTTGGGAGATTGCTGCTTCATGCTGCTGCCCCATGTCAACATGATGTTTCATGATGTTTCCACACAGCACCAGGCCACGCCTCCTCGGGCCCAAGCAGAATGCGAAGGAAGCTTTTGAAGGCCTTGGAAGGGTCGTTTTCTGTTGCCAAGAGGATCGACAGAACACATCAGAACCAGCGAGTCCTCACAAAGTTTGCTCCTTGATGGACCACGCGCCTCATCACCACCTGCTGAGGTCGCGGCCTTTGGCCGGAAGAAGCCTGATGAGGCAGTCAACACAGCAGCAACATACCGGCTTTGCAAATGTCGAGCCAAGGGAGAAAAGAAACCAATAAAATTCCATGTGTCTGCTTTCGGTCAAGATGCCGAACCCCCAGAGTTGAGTCTCCTAGCAGGTGTGCAAGGTCTTGTGGTTCCACCCGCAGTGACCCTAACTAAGCCTTACTGTTCCCAAATACCGAGGTCTGGGATCGCATCGTTTGCAAACCATAAAGCAAGGGATTGGTTGATCAGGTTGATGGGTCCCCATGTCTTGTACAGTTTGTCAGGTTTTCACTGGTTCATTCGCTAAGGCTAAGGGCTACTCAGGATTCTCGCTTCGTTGCTTCGCACTGGTGATGCAATACCCCGCCACTTGCTGTTGTGTTGCTTCACTTTGGCTTCGCGGACTCTTGTGGGCGCTTCACTGAATGTGTGGTTGGTCTTCGCGGGCTATTGCAGCATCTACAAATTCAAAGCCAAAGAGCGATAGATTCGTTGCACCCTGATCAGTTTGAGGAAGGTGAGCTCCAACTCACCCACAGCTGGAACCTTAGGTATGGCCATAAGACATCTGGTCCCTCCCTCTGAAAGGCTGTTCTTTGTCCGAAAAAGCCCAAAAAAGAACCGTAAAGCGGATGGCAATCCTGAGATTCCAGCCCAAGGCCGCAGCAAGAAGGGCAAGATACTCAGCAAATCAGCAATCCTCATCGACACTGAAGTCTCGGACATGGTTCCGGTTCAAGAAAACTGGCCCAGGAAAGACCTTCCCTGCGAATGGGGAAATTGGCAAGTGCTATGGGTGTTATCTGTCATTATGGGTTGACATCTTTGAGCCACAACTGCAATAGGTTATAGTTATAGGATTGCTCCAACTATATAACTCTTTATATTATATCTGTACATATATATATATATATACTCTTCAAGGCTAGTTCAGTACAAGTTGCTCTTTCTTTTTTTTCTGGATAGGCTTGGGATGCCAGGTGAGAAACACCAGGTGTATAAACAAACCATTGGCCGACTTTTGCCAGGATGGCCATCACAAAGAGGCCTCGGAGCATAGCCTTCATCCCCTTTGGCCAAGCGTCATGATGGGATTGAAGAGATAGCTGAAGCGGAGGCCCCGACACCACCAGCCTGGGCATGAGAAATCAGATAGGCAAGGCCAGTTGTTCTTAGGCATCACAGAGTCGCTCAAATTCCGCCAGCGTCGCGGCCCAAGTAGTCCAGGGTGAATATGGCGTTGATTGCCGAGGTACACCTCAGTCAGCAGGAGTATGTTTTGAGCTGCAATGTCGCATGTCTTCTCAACATTATTCCTTCTTTGATCGTACTTTGTTAATGTCTGGATTCCTCCGCAGGCCACGCGACGTTGTTATAACAATGAAATGCAAAAAGGGTCTCGCAGGGTACTACTATGTCACACGGCATTTAAAAAAGAAAATAAAGTGTAAGCATATCTGCTGCCAATGCAAATATAGTCCAATTAAGCACTGTTTTACTAAATGTACCTGTCCTGCATCCCCAAAAAGGAATTCAAAATCCACTTTCATGGGAAAGCTGCGAGTAGTGACTAATGATTCGCTGACTGGCAATGACCCTGCGGCAGGAACATCACAACAAAACGATCACATCAAGCCATCAGGAAGCCCGTCAAGCCTTTACATTTAGGGACCTCCTGAGTTTAACATCTTGCACGTGTAGAGATTGCAAGGCCTACTGTTCAATACTGTTCAACAAATCCTGGAGCATCCAAAAACAAAAAACTGACAAAGAACAAAGCATCATAAGCTCTCGAGGACTTTGCGGGTGTGGGCCCGGAATGCCTCTTTTGGAAAGCTTGAAGATATTCCAGTCATGTCCATTGTATACATGGGTCAGATGACCCAGTTTGTGTACATCCCATGTTGCATCAACCTCGATCGAGGCCGCTGGGCACACCCCACGCATCGAGCACACGGCTCGTGCCCTCGGACACGCCGGGCCTCAGCTCAAAGGTTCTGCCAGTCTGGCTATGTCTGGCTATGTCTGGCGTCCTTGCTCCTAGTAGGGATGCCCTTTGTTGCTAGTAGCTTCTTGTTCCTAGTAGCGATGCCAGGAGCCCCTAGTAGCATCCTTGCTAAGAACATCAAACGGAGATACCTCAGAGTGACAGAGCTTTGTGAAATGTGCGACTCACATGTACTGCCCCAAATGCATGAGCCTTTAGGAGCCGTTGAGACAATCACAGATGCTGAATAGCACTTGTGGTTCGCATTGTGTTTGCGGCTTTTACATAAACATTCCAAATGCTGCTTGACATCTACTGGACCCTTTGCCGTCAGAAAGGAAATATAACCTTCAAACCCTTCCCATGCCAATAATAGGGCCACATCAACAAGCTTGTGCCCCTTTTGAGTTGCAACAATGTCGGCTTCTGACCTAGCTGGCACGCTGTGTGGATTGAAATGCGCAATTCCACGGATAAAGGTGAGTGTCTGAGACCAAAGTGTCGACCATCAACAACCGTTGTTTAGCCCTCCGCGAGCGGGCAAAGACGTAGATCAGCAATGCAAAGCCTTCGGGGCAGTCGCTCGTCTTGACCACTGCTCTGGGGCAAGGATTTTGCTTGAGCAGTTCGGGTGAAGAACATGGAACTGCAAAGTCGCACAACATACAGTGACATCCACATGCTTGAATCTAAGCTCTAAGCCTACCAGAAGGGCACTAGTGGCTTCTGATAGTGGCGCATGCTGAAAGCGGTCGATCTCCGCCTCAAGTCCCGTCCCAGCCCTCCATTGAGATCCTCATCTTGCAAGTCCAATCCCTCTCAACGAATCTTCTATGACGCAGGCTGCAAATGGCAATGGAGTAAAGTTTTCCTCTTGTGCGAGCCTGGCGCAAATGCTCACAGAGTCAAGAAATGTTCACTGGGCAAGAGCACACATGGCACGAATTGACACGACCAATTATGGCAAGGCGCCGCAAGTATTCCTCATTCCATGACTGGTCAATGTCCTGCAATAAGAAACTACAAACGAAAGAGCTCAAGTTGGTTGGATGTGGGATATGTGATATGATTGATCTCTCGCTTAATCTCACCTCGCCTCAGAAGATTCCTCCAATTGAGGTGGACTGGAAGAACTTGGTGATTCTTCCACAGCTTCATCTCGCAACCCTTCTTTCACCAAGAAGCCAACACAGGTCGACTCCAAGGCTTGAGTTAAAGATCCATCACGGCCCAAGGTGGAGGTTTCCATGCAGGAGATGCCCACACCGGTGTCCGCAAACTCCTTTCGGAGCCCATTCGACAAGGTCCGGATGAAGGCCATGGAACCGGCGAAGGCACAGGCGCCCGCAACGCCCAAGGACGCGCCCGGTGGGGCTCCGATCAACAAGATCCGACCGCGACCGGCCCGCTGCATGTCCTCGCCAAAGAGTCGGCACAAGACGGTGGTGGCACCGACATTCAAGGCCAACATCTTGTCCAGATTGTCAACTCGTTGGTCCAAAAAGTTGCCTGTGTAGGAGTATTGATCTGAGCACACCATCAGGATGCAGACGTCCAAATCTTCTTCCCTGACTGAGTCTTGGCCATTCTTGGATCCCAAACTTGGGGGAATCGTCATTTCTGAATGGCTTTCACTTAGATTCCAAATGTTCACTGCAAAACAAGCGCCAAAATTCTAATGCTTGCCCACTTACCCGACTGAACTCCGGGCCTGATCTGACTATGAAGCAGAGCAACACCTTCGGAGGGATCCGCCAAGTTCATTGGCATTTTCAGGACTCGGCTCGAAGGGATTTTGAGATCCTGCGCATCAAGAACGGCCCACCGACAATGAGGCCGACCCAGGGCAGCTACTGTAGATGGTTTTAGGAACTATGGAAGCCTGGAAGCGGCTGCTCCGAGGACGAGGACAAATTCCGGTTCATACGCGGTCAAACTTGTTGGAACCTTGAACTTCTTGAGGGACCGGAATGACCGCACTATCAAATCGATTCTAAGTGACGCATTGTTTTAGACCGGCCCACCATTGTTAGATGTTCTATACATATTGTCATCACTCCAAAAGAAGTGAAGCTCTGCAGCTCCTCGAGATCGCTCTCCAGTCTAGGCAGACTCGCTGCCTGATCGGTGAGGATCAGCCCATAGCCGGCGCGGGCGGAGGCCCGGGCCAACTTCATTCCCAGTCCTGTGGCTGCACCCGTCACCAGAGCCCAGGACTTCTCTGGAGCTGGCAATGGGGAAAAGTCCATGTACTCCATGTCCTGCACAAGCTCAGCTGGCTTCTCACTGTCTTTCCCTCGCAAATCCAGTTCATAATATATAAAGACATCTTGACGCAAGCTTGTGATCTGAGCTAGCATACGGTAAGAATTTCAATTGAAAAGAAACAACCATACAAGATATCTGATGTGAAGCAAAACATTATATAAATCTCCATCACACAGAAAGCTGCAAAGATCAAGATCCCGACCAAGTTGATTGATTCTTCTCGGAGCTTTGCCCTTGGTCTGGTTTCAGGAGTATAGCGGAACCAGGGCTTAGCAACAGAGCCATAGATTGTGTGTGTGTGGGTGTCCAAAGTTGTTCTGGGTATCTCGCACATCTCCTCATGTCGGGCCACATTGCACACCACCAGTGGCCGCTTCAGCCGCGGTCGTGTCGACCGGGCGAGGATGGCCACCACAGGAGCAGAGGCCAAGCAGCGCCCACAGCGCCCAGAGAATATTGACGTGATCAACTGCGGGCAAGCCGCCCCAGCGACCTTTGCACTGGGATTCCATTGAGGATCAGGTAGGAAACGTATGGAACGTAGGGAACGAGAGATGGGCCTGGCAGGGCTTGAGTTGGAATGGACCATTTTTATAGGCAGTTAGGATCAGGAAAAGCAAGTGCTCTTTGGGCGTTTAAGAAACTTGAGGGGGTTTTGCATCCTTAAGTCGGTTCCAGAACGCAGGCAGGAGGGTAGGACCTGACCAGTTGCAAAGATTCCCAATCTTGGTGCAAAGTATCTGTGACCACAAGTGGAGTTGAGTCCGCAGGAATATATTACTGTATACAATTGCAAACAGAGTCGATGGGAGGCACGGTCCGATTTACCAACAGGGGGGAAGATGAGGACACCTTTGGCACTGGCCAGAAGATCCACTTGACCAGACCTGTCGACGAATATGGAAAACCTGGAAGCACTTTTGGTGGGTTGACAACAAGCTTGGCTTCGGCTCCATTCAGGGTCCCTGAAATGTAGAGATTTCCATTGGCAGTGCACAATGGATGTCTTGTCTCTAGTAACTCTAGTATTGAGGTCTCAGGTTTCAGTATGTCCTTCTGTTCAACTGCCCCAAGACTGGCCTCTTTTCAGCCACTGGAAACGGAACGTGCCACATTGAAGATTGCAACGGACATTCCATTCACAACATGGAGTCGGATGCGTCTGAGCGAAGAGGTGCTTCCAACCATGTACATCCTCTTGATTCTCTTCATATTGCCCTCTAAAAAGTGTGGGCACTTCAAGAGATACGTATGGATTGAACTCCAGCTGGGATTTGTTTGGACAAGGACAAGTCGCCTGCTTCGGCCTTCCGGTCTTGTGCCAGAGATCAAACAAATGTAGGGGTCAGATATGTGCTGCTCCATATCGCTTAAGTTTATCGCTGGAAGGTGCTTCTAAAAGTCTCGAGCCTTGGCCTCTCTGAGGGAACCAGACCTCACGATAGTGTTGGTTCTTATCCGACAAGACTTTTGGGTGGTGAATCAACCTCAAGAGAACGAGTCATGTATGTTGGCAAAACCTCATTCGACTTGAGATGGTCACCAGCTCCTTGAGCCAGAAAGTTCCCCCCTTCATGGCTGCGGGGTCCCGTGCCGACCTCATGATTTTCTGTGCACATTGATGGTGCTTGTTGAGCTTCACGTTGGCTGAGGTCATACTAGAAACCAAACGATCGAATACCACAAAAACATACAAAAGCCATGCATATCCAGAGATATCCAAACCATGTATACAAATGGATGTATGATGATGTATGCACTATTTGCAAAGACCCAGCCAGCCGGCAAAAGTCTTTGACAAATCGCTTCTCTTTAAAGCTTCGATCCCTTTCAAGACGGGTACTGGTGACACCTGGCATTTTGCGATACGACGATGTGTGGCATCATCCTCAGAAAGTCAGCAGCAAATGCCAGAGCTCTTCTTCTTCTTGCTCTTCTTCTTACTCTTGAGAGCAGACGACCCGGTCTTCACAGCACTACCCACAGCTGCGGCAGCACTGCCAGCAGTAATGACAAAGCTTTCGCGAGCCTTGTCCGTCATTGCATGACTCTCCTGGGGGGCAGTGTGACCATCAGGATGCGCCGTCACCACAAAGCCTGGTGGCAAAGGCTCACCAGGAGCAAACCACTTACCCTGCGAATGGTCCAAGCTACTTGCAGCCATTGGTGCCATGGAGTAGCCACCGAAAGTAGCCGTCGTGTACGGAACCCCAGTGTAGACTGGCGGCATGCCAACAGGTTCAGCAGGGTACTGATATGCCATGGTCACTGAATTTAAGCAATCGCAAGGAATGCACAGTCCAACTTGAGCACACTGCCGCGACAAGTGCCATGTTTGTCATCATCCAGCTCCTCTCAGAGCTTTTCAATCTTTTCGTAGCAAATCATTGTGAGAAGCTGCTACTGCTACTGCTACTACCAGTGTGCGCCGGATTCAATTCCACTAGATGCACGTAACATCAACTGCGACGAATGTTCCACTCGAACGCCAACTGCATTGGACATAGACAAGGCATGCACAAGAATACGCATTCTCTATTTCCGGTCCCCAAGGTCAACAAAATGCAAGGCTGCTTCTGCTCCCAACTGGAGAATCAAAGAGTCTTCCACTCTCCTTTTTGTCCAAACAAAAACGATGAGTGGGCAGCTGCGTCGACCAACGGTGGAGCCCAATCCCACCTTATCAATGCTGCAAGTGGAGGTGCACTTGCGAAAGCAGCATCAATTTGAATTGCAGTCCAAACATGTCCAAACTAGCGTCTTTTGAAGCCAAAGCTGGACTGCTCGATGCAAACCCGAGTCCCGGACGTTCGTGTTTCCCACTCCTGCAGAGAGCAAAAGGCAAATTGAAGCTCCCAAACCAAAAAATGCGCGTGCACAGTTGGTACAGCAGCAAGAAATGAATATCATCTTGAACCCACTGTGTGGGTCAGGTACATCTTGCAAGCTCTTCATTGAAGGAGAGGCACCAAGTTGAGAGGCAGGTCTCCTCCGCTTCTGATGATGGCCGCAAAACGCCCACCACTGCTGGCCTCAATGACCGCACTCGGACTTCGCATCTGAGAAAGGAAAAGATTGACATAGCTTTGCATGTGGTGTGCATCACAATTACGAACACAAACTCCTGGCATTTGTAACCATGCGCTGATCCTAAGAGTCGCCTCTGCCCGTGTTTCTGAGATTCAGAGCTCTGAAAAGTGCAGCGAAGATCAGCGAAGAAGATCCGCCTGGGGTTCCGCACTTTCCTGAGCTCATCAGCTTCAACGGAGGTCGAAAACCTCTTGGACAAAGGGCAAATAATCCGATGCCCAGAGAGGCATCCCGGTACGTTGTTGGCTCCTTGAATAGTGAAAAGTTAGGACGCAAGATCAGAATGACATTTGACTGAAGGGCAGCAGGGATTTCGGTGTGTTCAGGCTTTCAGGGTCAATACTTTTGTTGCTCTTGTAAAGCCTTGACCAGATGTATTTGCTCTTTGCTATTTCAATTGTCCATCCAAATTGGGGGATCCGAGCTACACTCAAGTTAGGCGGCTCTATGGGAGCTCGGTCATTTTCCTCATCGGTTTGGAAGGAGAGCTGCAGCTTCCCCGATCCCGATTCCTCGCACCTTGGACCTGCCGATAGCGCGGGCCATACTGAACACCGCCCACCTGCAGGTGTGTGGTCATCTCTGTCCATCCATAGGATGTGCGACTGGTATGTGCACACAAAGATCCAATGTCTCAAAAACACGTCCTTTTCTGGATAAACTCCCAAACAAAGCAGGACTTGTGAGAGTCCGAGCAAAAATCAACTCGACCCTATCGGGTGATCACCTTGACTCTCATCTGGCACGCTTTTGAAACCAAAGTCAATGATCAATGGAAATACTGGGAATGTAGACCAGAATCTGCTCAAAACCTCAACAATGCCCTTCTTGCCCAAGAATTTCGGCAGCCTTGGGGACTCCGCCTTGCTGTGGTGTAGTAGTAATGCCCTTGTTACTAGTAGCGATGCACTTGTTACTACTAACGGATAGTCAGACCCTGTCTTTGCTGTTGTCGATTCTCCTACACGTCATTCCTGAGTCCAGGTATTCAATACCAGCCATATCCTTCGTTCATCCAGGATTAAAGGAGGCATCCACACATGATGCCGACAGAGTGCTCTCACATCACGGTAGAGCTCTTCCTTGACCACCTCAACCATCCTCAGCCCAGCTGCTGGGTTGGTTGACTCCAGTGCCTTTCAAGTTCAAGGAGCATGACATGAAAAAACGGCATGTGTTTTCAATTTCAGCTTTTCAAGATCAAAGAGTGTCCGGAAGTTTCTCACTGCTGGGGCTCCTTTTTGCGCATTTTGCCATGTCAAGCGCTTCCAGTTTGGAGAGTCTGGTCTCAGCTAGTATTGCGACTAGGATCCCAACGACAGGGGCTGAACACCTTGCCAATTCCCCTCAGTCAAACCTCGGCACACACCCAATTCAAAGAAAAGCAAGGGTTGTTGTATCCGTAGGGCAAAAACGAGTGAACCGGCTTCTCCTCTCCCCACTCTCAGTGTCTCTCTCTCTCTCTCTATGTATATAAATGTACATATGATACTGATACATGCTACGAAGCTAAAGTAGACGATTGAGTAGTTTTGTATGAAGTCTGTAAAATTGTTGGGGCTTTAAGGCTTAAGGGTGCAGGCAGTCACGCGTGCCAGTACACGTACAACAAAGGTTCAGTTCACAGTTCACTGCGGTTTCAGGTGCGCAGCAGTATGCCAGTCGGGGTTTTACTGCAAAGCTTTCAAGAAAATGTTCTGCATCTCACACTTTGCCTGGTTCACGTTCTGCAACAGCAGCCGCGACGACAGGACGGACCTGTTGGCTTCTGCTGTGTCCATGCGAGGTGCACTCTGCAACCCAGCTTTTCAACAAACACCAACCACAGTCGTCAACCTTTCTGCTCACTTCCCCCTGGCCCCGTCTTTATATTTAGCTATATAAGTAGGCCATAGTAGGCGCCTACTTATATAATCAATTGAGTAAGGGAGAAGCAAGCTACTAGCAACTTGTTCGCTCCTAGCTAGGACGCAGGATAGCTCACGCTTTGTCAAGGAAGCTCCCCCTTGAGGGTGGGGGGAGCTTCCTTGAAGAAGCGCTCGCACTAATGACTAATGACTTGGTTCCCAGATGTTTAGGGAAACTTAACAAACATAGTATCCTAGGATTCTTTCAGAATGACCCACCGCCAATTTCCCCTTCTGACTTGCTTCCTCCTAACCAAAGGAGTGTTGCGGCATTGTGGGTGTGTTGTTGCTGTGGTTCTTGTCATCGAAACTCGATAAGTAGCTTCCTAAGTTTGTTCTTCGGATGTTCAAAGCGGCTCACTTCGAAGGTTGCTCAACCTCCCGCCTCGGCTTTGGCCCTGAGCCACCAGTCTGCATTGGACCTCCAACGTGCCAGCGAAACGATACAAAGCTGGCTTTCAAATGATAAACTTCCACATTGATTACGCTCCCTTCGTTCAATCCACCAATATGCAAATCCTGAAGTAGTAGGGTTCGATGAACCTCTTCAGAACACAACAAGCAAAAACAGCAACGTCCCTCCGCTCCATCTGGGCATTCCCTGCGGGATTGAAGCAGTGGCCTGGGAACAGAGTGGCAGAGTAGGCAGTTTTCAGATTCTGTTTTAAAGAATTGGTGGCCTCGTTTGTTGCTTCTGGACATCAGGGCGTACCTAGACAAGACACACAGTGCAAAACCGTGAAGCTTTCTAGCGCAATTCTTTGGAAGATGACCAACCTACACTTTCCTCACTCCATGATTCAATTGTCCATCGAAGCATAAGGACTCTCCGAACATATTCAGGTTCCATCTCAGATTCCATTTCTGAGGGACTACCACTTGAAGACAAATCATGGATGATGGGAGAAGTGCAGCCACCCAAAATCACACACTGTGTCCTGCCCCAATGAAACCCCAAAACGAGACCCTAAGGTCTCCTCACGTCGCTTGAAACCAAACGGCTCTCCTCACATCATGGCACCCGCATGGTCCCATGGCCTGCTGAAGATCCTTCCGGTGAAGCAGCTCCTCTACCTTTCGCCATGGGCCACCAGGCAGGAAAATGTTTGTTTCTCATATGTCCTTCCTTTGGGGCAGATTGGGCTGTGGAAGCTGTCGCAAGCTGAGTAGTTTACTGGCTCTAGCAAACAGACGGAAAAAACCAATGTTCCTAGCAAACAGACGCTACTAGGGGCTCCTGGCCTTACTACTAGGAGCAAGGACGCTACGAGCGGAGCAAAGGGCATCGCTACGAACGGAGCGATCGGACGCTCTGGCTGGTGTTTGTGCACTTTTGGAGTTCGACCTTTCGCTGCCGCAACAGGAAGTCGCCGCGCCATGTCGAACCCCCAGGCACACCATCACCCACAAAACTCGTAGCATGCACACCATACCTCTTTCTATTTGCAGTGTTGGAATAGCTTCCATCAATGCACACAAATCTGACGTGAATTTTGCACATGTTGGAAAGTGGAGAATTCAAGCCTCCACTTCTGCAGAACTGGGGCCAGCAAGATGGAGGAGTATGCACGTCCCGTGTTCCTACTTATGTGGCCCTTGGATGGCTCACCTCATAGAATTGACCCCGAAGTCTCAGAAGCTAAAGAGTGAAGCGAGAAAACCAGGGTGCCGGATCAATCTGGTGGAAATCCTTGTTCGCCTCTTATTCAATTTGCGGCGTTTGGATAGCTTTGCAGAGACACACTGGCTTCTGAAACAATACTGTATCTTTCGCGCGATGGGGGTGAACCCATGTTCTGCATGCCACCATGATTGCTTTTAGATGCTGCCCGTGCGTATATAGTACTCTCAGTAAGCATGCGCCACTGCGATTGGCATAAACACCTTGCACTAAACCATTGATTCAAAACATATACTGATATATACTGTATACTTAGTTGAACCATGGTCCTGTCTGTGCCAGTGCGATTAGATTTATAGGCTGAAGATGAGCAGCGTATGTACTATGTGTGTAGCTGGAGCATGCCACACTGTGGGACGACTTCACGCGACACGAGAAAAGTCAAGGACCCGATAAGGCCGACTGTCTAGTTGCAAGTCCACACACTTCTCACTGTTTCACAATATTCCCTGGGTAGTGTATGTCCTGGATTGGAGATTCTATGTAAAGAGCTTTGTGCTTTCCAATGTGGCGTTTCGCCCACACACTACAATACCTGACTTGACAATGGAAAACTGCTTGCGGGTTGAAATCACCCACCAGCTCAGCCACATCCATGACACACCCTTGCACAGAGTAGTTGATCAAGAAATATATATATATCACGCATGAACCATGAAAAGCCTGATGATCGTCGATGGATGTCAATGGCCAAAAAGCAGTAAAGGAGATTCACTGCATACCGCTGCATACCTCTCCCCCTCGCTGCAGCTGTAGCGACTCGGAATCCAGCATCCTCCACCGTGTGCAGCGCATCCAGCAACGGCTGCAGTGTTTGCTGCTGCACCGACTCCTCCGAGGCTGCACCTCAAACCGGATATCGATTCTATTAATTCATGGGAGGTGGGAGAGCTTTTCATGAGTGGCAGAGACAGATTCACAAGGAGTCTGAAGGTGAAGAACAATTGTTTGGCCATCCTTTTCTTGCGTATTGCTGAAGATCACATGTTATTGGCTTGCACCACCTGGACTATTGTAAAAATGGATGGGGAGGCTAAGTGATGCTTAAATTAAGGCCAACTTCATATCCCACTAAACTACTTGCAGGGAATCTATATAGGCGTTTAAGTTTAAGTTCCTTGGATTACGAACTGAGGAAACTTGTTGACCATGGTCAACAACCATTTCCTACCGTCGGATGAAAAGCTGGGAGGAGGGGCCAAGTTGAGGACTTCGTCACCAGCTATGATCGTCAATGTAGCCTCCCCACCTCCGGACAAACTCAGCCTTGGACGAAGCTTTGAGATGCAAGCACTACGCCACTCGGAGCCTTTGAGCATGTGAAGTCTGGTGAAGTTCACACATTCGACTGTACTTGACCCTCACGGAGCAGGTGGTTCGCTTTAGGAATTGGTAGCTACTGTATTACTGTTGTATTTACTCCATCCCAAGCCAAATGCTACCCTTGGCCTTAGACAAATGCCATCATGTGATTAGTTGAATTTCGAGCCGCCATATATACACACGATACCAAATACCATCTACCCTCCGCTGAAGTGACATGTCGTGTCCTGCGATAGAGAATCATCACCTTCCAGACCTATTGGTGGGGTGCTAGGTTGAAGGACAACATGCTGGCCAACCATAGACAGCCTCAGACTTCGTACCACTGAAAGCAAGCGCAACCTTGCCACTAGAAGTCGCTTTCAATGAACAGTCCAAAAAAAGATCACGCACGCAATTCAGGGCGTGCTCAAGTGTTCATGTAGAATCCCCACCATGTTTCTCAAGCTCACATGTTGAGCCCTCGGAGACAGAAAAAGCGCCACGACCAGGAACCCCCGACGAGGCGGCCACAAGCCCATCCTCTCATGCAGCTCTGTAAGCTGTTGTAGCGCTTCGGCCTGCCGCCAAACTCGGGAAGAAAACGGAGAAGTCGGCTACCAATGACCGGCTGTTGCATTGATCGTCAAGGAACCGATTGATCCTTGCACCCCAGTGAAATGATGCATTGTTCACTACTAATGACTAAGAAACTAAATTGACTAAATGCACTGATGTACATGAATCTGATATGTTCAGTCATGATGAGTTCTCCTAAACTGAACCACAACCAATCCAAGGGGGCGGCCCAAGTGCATCTTTCTGCACAGAATGGGAAACTTAAGAATGGCGGCCTTCGAAACCGTGAGACTCTCCTCACCTCTCGCAAGAAGTCTCGACATTGCCGGGCCAGGGAGAGCGCATGCTGGAGATAGGAGACAGCCTCATCGGAAGTCACATGCTGCGCGGCCAGCAGTGCCACCTGGGGGGCGGAAAGCATGGCAACGTCAGAAGTGGTGATCCGTCCCCTCGTGCCTCGTGATCCTTTTTTCTGTGTTTTTGCCGGCCCTTAATTGAGTAGTCGCCGACTGAATTCAGCAAGGGCTGGACGCTACTAGTTAGGATGCAGGATAGCTCACGCTTCTTCCCCCACCTGAGGGTGAGGGGGAACTTCCTTGAAAAAGCGCTCGCACTATTCATGTGGTTCCTAGTTCCCAGATGTTTAGACAAAAGAAAGAAAACAAAAAACTAGAAGGTCAGGGAAACTGTCCATTCATGTCCCGTTGAAACCCATCCGTTGCTTCATGCCATTCACGCGGACACAGTTGACACACACACGAACTTGACCACCGGGTGTTTCCATGTTCACCTAGTCGTAGGAAGAGATATAAAAGATCCTCGAAAGTTGCCGGTATGATTCCTCTGAAATCACAAGCCCAGATAGGGATCTCTACACTTTGACTTGTGGGTCAGCTCAGTTGTATCTTGTAAAGCATTTGAGGAGAATGAAGCTGCTTGACCCGTCGTGACATCATCGTACCAATGCCCTGTCCCCTGAAAGAGGGGCCTCCATCTGCGCTTTCTCGCTTTCTTTCAAGGTCTTCAAACGCCCCAAAACTTCTTCAGTGAAGGTCTTCGGCTCCAGCAACACCAGCGCCACCAAGGCACCACACCTGAAGGAAGCACACAGGAACCACAACATTGACAAAGGTTCCGTTTGACGTTGACCCCTGGCCAATATCGTTTGCCGCAAGGCAAGGAAAAGGTTGCAATCTGAATCTTATCATATATATATAACTGCTCAATCTTACTGCACGGCCGTTTTTCTCCATCTTTGAAGGC